ATTGTCTAGCTTTTGCTTCAGACATAGCTTTTTGTGGGCTCTAATGGGGCATGAGAAAGAAGGAAGCTGTTTTTACAAGCAGATCATTTCAACTAAGTGGCAAGCGGACTCCTCCAGATGCACCCTGCAAAGAGCAGTCCGTCACCTTAGTCACAAAATGCACTTTTGTGTATTTTACCCTGTCCCTTCACTACATGTCTTTGATTTCAGTGGGAATGAAATATTTGGCCCTGTTTGTAGTTTAAAGATGTCCTCAACTTAAATTGCTGGATATGTTTTTAGCAGGTCTTCTCATCTCTTTCAAACATTGTTTTTGAAGTTATGCATGTTGTGCTTATTAAAACCCTTCACTGGGATATTTGAAGACAGAAGATGAATTATTATAAATAATGCTGCCTTTGAACAGGAGCAGTTTAACACAGTGATCCTTTAAAGATGGTAGGATGGCACAAAGGGTTTGGACTTTTTTAAATTAAAAAAAAAAAAGGACAGGGGAAAACAGAACTTTGTCAGAAACTTTAGTGCTTAGTTAAAGTAGGAACTAGGGCAGTTGTTGAAAAGTACTTTTTCATCTGTAGAATGAACACTAAAATTTCCCAGAATTAAGTTAAGTGTTGGACACTTACATGTCTCATGTATGTAGAGCCAGCGATAAGAAGCAGCTAGGCACCCTGCCGTTTCCTGGGAGGGTGAGGGAAGGGCTGTAGCTGAGGATATCCTGTCCTTTCCTCGCAGTCCAGTGAATATTAATGAGGACAAAAAATAACCCACCTATGTAGTTTCAAATTTGATGCGCTTGTTTAGTTCATTTAATTATCAGAGGAAAAAGGAATGTTTGGAAAAAAAAACAGTGGTATTGCTCTTTCTGCTTTATTGCTTTCTGGTATATGAGGAGGGGGTGTATTTTGGGGTTTGCTTTGTTTTAAATAAACCTTCATTTTTTTATTACTCTGAAGAAAGAGCACAGTTGCAAAAAGACTCACCTTTGCGGCTTTTTTTTTGCTTTGCTTTGCTAGAAGAGACAGTACGCTGCTGCGTTACTTGAGAGAGAGTGTGCAGCTGGATCTGTAGCTAAAACTAGGAATATTTATTTCAGCTGACTCTGAGGATCTCTGAAGAGGTTATTTTCTTAAGCTGGTGGTCTTTTTTCAGCAATTTAGAGCCAGCTGCAGCCCTCTCCTGCAATGCCATGGCAGCTTTATATGTCAGACTAATGTCATTGAAACAGGACAGAGGCTAAGGGCTGGGCTGTGACAGTGGCTTCGCATAGGTGGAAGGCACAGCGGTCCTTTAGGTGCGGTTGGAGAAAATGTCCGACAGCGTTGCCAGGTCGTGCTAGAGTTCCCTTCCTCCTCATCTCCTCTGTCCCCAGTTGATACCAGCAGCTCATGTGGTGGGCTTGGACAAGAACTTAGCTATCAATCAACTTTTCTAAACAGAAATGAGGTCTTATTGTATTGGTCATAAGAATAAATGCATGGAGATAAAACAACATGTTTAAATACACAAGTAGTAATCACAAATCTAGAGAAAGGTAAAAATATCTTTAGAATAAATGCTTAATTTTAGGTCATGCTTAAACACTGTCAATGATACGATATGTGGTGGGACAAAGATACACTTGCATATCTTTATTTGAAACTAAACCTTTTTTTTTTTTTCCTTTTTTTTTTCCCAAAAATATTGTAGGTTGAGCAGATTGAGGAAGGAACTCCTGGAAGATTGAAAGTTATAGCCAAGTCCACAAAGGGGAACCAAATAATTGAAGGGGAATACAATACTGTGAGTACTGTTTATGTACATGAAGAATGTGAAATAGCCTTCCATTTAATGTTGAGATTTTGTGGGGTGTTTTTATCTATAGTTTAGATTTTTTTTTAATTATTTTAATCATTACAATATGCTAATTGCACACAATCAACAGGTAATTAATGTGACAGAAGTCCCAGAATCCATGGGCATGAATCCCATGTGCCTTGCAAAATCACTTGCATGGCTTTGAAACCTGTTTCTTAGCTTAGGGATGTAGATGAGCTTGGTTGTGTGGAATCAGTTGCAGGATTTTTCCCAGTGGGATATTTGTCATAAATGATAAGTAATGATTTATAATAGCTTTCATAGTAACCAAAGCATATCCTGGAGTTAGCACAAACCGATGGTCTGTGCAAGAGCTGAACAAACAGGTGTCATGTCTTCTCAAGACCTGTTGTTGACACAACATCTTCACAAAAACAACTAACACCCTGTGGCAAGTCAGTCAGGGAACTTCATTACACACTTAAAACAGTAAAACATACCTGCAGTGTGCAGGTATGCCATTATATATTTGACTATTTCCATCACCCCTCATTCCACTCATTTTCTTAGGCCTTGATGCTGAAAGGAAAAAAAAAAAAGTTGGGAATAAAGTATTTGGAACTACACATAATGCTTAAAGACAAGCATTTGCCAGCCTGGGATTTTAGACTGCAAATACTGTATGCTAGGGACCTCATTTACCTGTATAGTGCATCAGTCATCCCATAACAAGGACATGCCTCAGTGCATCTGAGGGCTAATATTATTTAACATATTAAACATATTATTTAACAATAACAACGGAGCTCTTGCACAGTGTGCTCATGCTGTTTTTCCTGGTCCATAGCAGTGAAAACTTTTTAGCTAGCAAATCCATACCATCTTTTCAGTAAGGAAACTTCTGATTTCTTATTACTACTACATCTTTCACTGAAATGCTGTCACTCATACAAGCTATGAACTGTGTGTGATACATTTTAAGACCTTCAGCTCTGGCATGCTTGGTCATCTAAAAGACTTGAAGCAGATCTCAGGTTCCTTCAGCATGGTTCTTAGTTGTCATATGAGAAGCGTTGTGTAGTTACCTGGGCAGTTGTCCGAGACTGCAAAGCACATAGTGCTTTTCATTGTGATAGTATAGGCTGGAATGTGTTTTGCTTGTTAAGATAGCCAAGTTGATAGCTTGGGTAAGAATTTGGTCTGATCTGTCCATCATTCTGAACAAATGTTCAAACAAATAATACTCAACAAGTAATATTCTTTGGCAGTGGCTTGGCTGAGAGCCTATGTAAGTAAAAGATATTTTCTGATCAAAGCAAAGATTATTTTATGGTCTATTTATTTGCCTAAGCATATGAGTTTCCTTCCTAAAGAGCCCTCTCCTTATGGAGCATTTTGGGGTCACCCGCTATCGTAGGGATATGGTATAACACTTCAGTATAAAAGTGTGAGGAAATAAAGAATCTGACCCTAACCTATTTGTTTAGAATACTCTTGGGGTATTTTTCAAGGGAAAGCTATTGGACTGTATTTAATCTTACCATTAAAACCTGGTCTTATTAGATCATGGTGGTGGTGTGGCTTGTCTTGAGCTCTGTGAATGTAAAATGGGTAACAAACATATTCATCGTAATGAATCTAAAAGCCTTAGATACTAATCCTTAATATATAATGAAAATAAGATAGCCACATGGAAATGCACTTTTGAGGTTTTAAAAAATCAGTAACATACATTGCTGTTTTGCAGGTGTTGCTAGCAATCGGCAGAGATGCATGCACAAGAAAAATTGGTTTGGACAAAGTTGGAGTGAAGATCAATGAAAAGTAAGGACAGATGTCTGTATACCACTCACTACTGAGCTTGTGTAGTTTACTGTTGCAATGACAGTGGTGCATAGATATTCAAATACTTTGAGGAAAAATTTGTTTCCTGTTTGCATATACTTGTATAGGAGACCGTGTAGCAGGTAGCTGCATTTTCTCCCATGGTACTGCCATGTTTGCTTTTTTGATACTGAAATGTCAGTGCTTAAATGCTGGGAGTCAAAAGTGTCTGTTCCATTCTGTCTAGGTTCACAGGTTGGTCTCAGCTTCTTCCAGTGATGGGGCTTTCTAGGATCTGTCAGTTGTTCTTTGTACTGTCTTATTCTCATCTCCTTGTTTTTACCTCTACCACCTCTTGCGGCAGAGATCTGTTTGTTCATACAGACCTTTAGTGTGGTGGGGTTTGTTTACATTTTTAATGTAAATGCTAGTATATGTTTATTTTGAAATATAAGGTCAAGGTAGTATTTTTTAAACTCACAGTTGGAGTTGGTGATGTGTTTTAGGTTTTGGAGGAGCTTATTGCTTGCCTTAGAGCAACCCTTGGGAACAATCTGTGTTCTGTAGAGGAGCATTTCATGTTTAATCTAGTGAGGTTGTTGCACCAGGGAGTGGCACTATCAGTAACATTCTCAATATTGGTAGCTAGAACATCTTCTAGGCGTATAGGGCCCAGATGATCTTTCCTTTGAAGAAAAGACACAGAACCATGAACTTGACTTGGTAGTCTATGCAAAAACGATGCAGAGGGCAGCTTATATATGAACACAGTGACTGATGCTGCTGAAGGGAATTGTTGCGATGTTGTAAATAAGTGGAAATTTTGGTCCACTCAAAATTGGCAGACTCGTGTTGTTTTGTAGAACAATACACATCTTTCTGACATCAGGACACCTATTACTAGCTTAATAGAATGAACTATAAAATTATTAGCATAAACTGTGTATTTGTTAACAAGAGTAAAATTGACGAAGTTTGATTTTAATATGGGAATCACCACTGGTCCCTCAAGTAACTGCGTGACTGTTTCTGTGCCTGTCTGAATAGGTTTCTCTGTTATATGTGTTTCCTGCAGTGATTACTGCACTTTCATTTATTAATGAAGCAGGAAATATTAATAATTAAAAACTTCCATTAGCTCAATACACTTATAGCTAAAAAGCTTGCTGGCTGTCCCTTAAGTAGGATGTCTAACAGCTTGACCTGTCTCTCCGTAGAAGCCTAAAGGGTGAGTTTATAGAAACTGCTTCAGCCACTGGACTGGAATTTCAGTAGTGGAGAAATTCTTTTGTCCTACAGCTTGAGTGGGAGAATGTCTTTTCCTGTCATTTCTCAAGAACACAGCTCAGCTGGTAGTAGAGAGTGTTTGAGGAAAGGATTTATGCCTTACCAAAGGATTCATTCAGGAGATGAACCACAACTTCACAGGCTACCTCCTTATGCAGTGTGTAAATTCCTGTAGTTTTGGTCCATTTTGTACTACTTTACATTCTTGCCCAAGACTGTAAGATTGTGAATATTACTTCTTTCCCTCATACTTTAAATACAAGTCTGTCTTTTAAAGCTAAAGGGCCTAACTCCTGCAAGGTTATTTACACCTCCAGTCTTCACAGCAGAACACTTAGGTCTTTTTTTCTTGTTAATTCAAATTCCAGAACAGGAAAAATTCCTGTCAACGATGAGGAGCAAACAAATGTGCCATATATCTATGCTGTTGGAGATATACTGCAGGACAAGCTGGAGCTCACACCAGTGGCAATCCAGGCAGGAAGATTGTTAGTTCAAAGGCTTTATGCTGGGGCAACCAGTAAGGTAAGGAACCAGTTGCCACAAAACACTGTCATTACTCTACTTCTAAGTGCGGAGTGCAAGTCTGCTTGTTTATGGAAAACTCAGTAGGCTTTTAAGGATTAGCTTTGATGATCACTTTAATTTTCCCCTTGCAAAGATATTACTGCAGATATGTTCTGCTAATTGTGTAGGGTGAAATTAATACCTTATGGATTAAGCAGGAGTCTCTTGTTTTCCTATTAAGAGACTATTTTTCTCTCAGAGTATAATGATAATAAAATTAACTAAGATAATTTAACTTGGTTTTAGCTCTACTGCCTTCCCTAAAAGTCAGCAATCATTCCCATCCAATTAAATGCTTTAACTCTAATTCATAGGCAGTTTACTAAACCCTAACTATGGTCCCAAAATGGAGTGTAATAGGGGTTTGCGATACTCTTCATTTTCAATGTTATTTCCACTAATTTTTTTCACTTCTCATCCATATGTTTTCAATGTAATACACAGTTCTGCTTATAATTGAATATGGATACAAAGGAAGATCAAATGTACCAATAAGTCAGCATGTATTTATACCTGAGAAGTTGAATTCATCAATTCAGTGTTTACGTTTCTTATTAGTGCAATTATAGGTTTCAGTCAAGTTATGCTAGTCCAAATAGGAGTAACATGGGTACTCATTTACACCTTATCTTTAAATCAGGAGGAAAGGAGAGTGCCTTTAAAGAACTGTTACCAAAGCACCACTGATGTTGGGTGCTTGTCTCGCCTTCATAACCATAGGGTATGAGCATAAAGGTTTTTCTTTTTTAGAGCCTGCTGTATTCATATTAAGTTCAGATTTAGAGCTTGAGTTAGTTGTTTATTTTAGATTGGCAGGTATTGCGGTAACAGAATCCTGAATAAGTGTGCATAATGTCATTATATCAGCCAGGCAAAGTTTAAGAAAACCATAACTGGAGCCAGAAGTTTTTAGTTTTTCCAATACTATGAATATGTCCTAATTTACACTTTATGCCAAATGACTGTCTCTCAAGGTACGAAAATCCTTATGCTGCCAAAGAAAGCATCACGTCTTTCAGTGAATCCCAAGAAATAAGTAGCTACTTAGATGGGAACCTGGCTTACGTTGCTGTTGTAACAAATCTGAAAAGGGTGATTGTATGAAACATAATGAAGTGTTGTGGGTAGATGGGGAAGTTGTAGTAATAGTAATAGAATATTAGTAGTACTAATAGAATATGTAGTAATACTAATAGAATGGAATAATAAGCAGCATCTCAGTTGATACCCAGTCACAAAGGAAATTAGAATTGAAATGCATAGAAATTAAAATTACTAGATTAAATAGAGCTGACCAGCCTGCTACTCTACTATGGCACAATGACTAATTTGGTGGATATGGGGAGAGCAGTGGATGTTGTTTACTTTGACTCTAGTAAAGGCTTTTGACACTGTCTCCCATAACATTCTTATAGACAAACTGATGAAGTACAGCCTAGGTAGCTGGACGGTGAGGTGAATTGAAAACTCGCTGAACTGCCAGGCTTAAGGGGCTATGACCAGCGTTACAAAGACCAGCTGAAGGCCAGTCACTAGTGATGTGCCACGGAGTTGGATACTCGGTCCAGAACTGTTTACCATCATCTTTAATGATCTAGATGATGAGACAGAGTGCACCCTCAGCAAGTTTGCAGATGATACAAAACTCGGGGGAAGTGACTGATGCACCCGATGTTTGTGCTGTCACTCAGAGGGACCTTGTCAGGGTGGAGAAATGGGCTGACAGGAATCTCACAAGAGTTCAGCAAGGAGAAGTGCAAAGTCCTGCACCTGCGGAGGTATAACCACATGCACCAGCACAGGCTGGGAGGCCACCAGCTGGAAAGCAGTTGTGCAGACAAAGCCTCGGGGGGGTCTGGCGGACAAGTTGACCGTGAGCCAGCAATGTACCCTTATGGCACAGGCAGCCAGTGACATCCTGGGCTGCATCCTGCAGATGCATCCTGGCAGAGCATTGCCAGCAGGTGGAGGGCAGTGACCTTTTCCCCTCCACTTGGCTCTGGTGAGACAGGTTTGGATTTTGTGTCCAGTTTTGGGCTCCCCAGTACAAGAAGGACAGGGCAAGTCCAGCGAAGGGCCATGACTATGGTTAAGGGACTGGAGCACCTGACACATGAGGAGACACTGAGACAGCTGGGAATTTTTATACCCTGCAGGAGAGATGGCTTGGGGGGCTCGTATATCAATGTATATTTATACCCAATGGTAGAGAGTAAAGAAGACGGAGCCAGACTCTTCTCAGTGGTATAAAGTCCAAGGACAAGAGGCAATGGATTCAAACTGAAACACAGGAAAATTCCATTTAAACATAAGAAAAAACTTCTTTATGGTGAGGGTGGTCAGGCCAAGAGGTTGCCCAGAGAGGGAATCTCTAGAACACTCTAAAGCTCCAGTGAAGTCAGGGGTCAGTGTTTGCCTCTCGTGGTAAGTAACTGGGCACACAGTATCAACTCTAGTTCTAGCTGTCCCCCTAAATGGCTGTAGTTCATGTCTTTGGTTTTTCGACGTTGCCTAGGCCACAGTTGATAAAAAAGGTGATGAGTTTTGGATGGTGGTGGTGTCTTTGCAGTGTCCCCAGCTACAAATAGCATGCTTTGTAGAAGCAGTTGAACAGTCTACTTTTTCTCTTCAGTTTGACCTGTGATCTGGTACATTTTTAAAATGGGGCACTGAATTTCCTTTTTCTTTTAGTCTATGCATACTAATGTCAGTGTGGCTTTAAACTGTCTTTCCATTCTTGCTCTGGTTAACACCTCTGAGAGGGACAAAACCAAAACTGTAGCTTAATTTAAAACAATTTTAAAAAAAAGTAACTTTCAGAATTATAAATAATCCAACTTCTCTTCCTGTCTTTTGGACTGCTGAATTTTTACCCAGTGTGCTGATTTTATTACTGATGTTGTGTGGTTTTTTTCTGTTTTGTTCTGAATACTACACAGTGTGACTATGTGAATGTTCCAACTACTGTATTCACTCCTTTGGAGTATGGAGCCTGTGGGTATTCTGAAGAGGCTGCGGTGGAGAAGTTTGGGGAGGAAAACATTGAGGTAAATGCCTTAGTTTCATCTGGATTTTAAGTTCCCAATTTGTAATTTAAAGTAATGTTAAGAGTTGATTAAAACAGCATTCTGTGCTGTCATGTAAGGCCAGGAGGTCACTAGGTACTAGGTACATTTTTGTCTTTTTTGGCAGTTCTAAGCATGTTATAAAAATAGTTCCCATTTGCTCTAGTTGCAAATATGTTCTGTTTTTGGCAAACAGGGCTTGAAGGTGGAATATTTGGTTAAAAAAAAAAAAAAGAGGGAGGTTTCTTAGTGTCTGCAAATACTTCAGGATAAATTAAAGCTGGATATGTGCTGGAAGCAAGACACTGCGTTTAATGTCAAAGTGGAGCTTTTTGTAGCTAGTGTGGCAAATTCCTTGCCATGGTGATTTTTGCTTTATAATGCCAAATGATATGCTCATTTTTGCTGTTTATTTTGACTATGCAAGGAGGTGTATGCTTAATTTTACTCACGTGAGTAATCCTTTTTCATTCACTAGGATTGCTGGTGAAGAGTGAAATTAAGACATATGTAAACATTTAGTGCCTGAGGCTGTTCTTACAAAATACTGTACTGACCACATTACAGAAAGCATGAGTGGAGGAAGTCTGACAATAAACTGAACTCTTATGTCCCATGAAGATCACTGAAGGAGCATTATTTGGGGAAATAAGCAGATAAGTGGTGGTTCATGAAGTTGAGAGCTTGTCTCCCTCTTAGCTTTGTCAATTACATTTTTTGAATTGGGCTGTGGAGAAAAGAAGTAAATATGACTCAATGGCACTGCATCAAGTACTGTTAACCTGACTACAGGGCAAAGGCTTAAATTATTTTCTTCCCACAAAGTTTGTATATACTCTGGCAGATTTTTGTTATTGAGTCAGTTTCTTGCAGTTACATGTGAAACACTAGACCCTTCTTTGTGGAAAATGCACTTTTGAATTTTCAAAGCCATTTTTAAAAATGTACATACAGAAGCATTTGTGTTCTGACTGAGTCCTCATTTAGTTTATTCTGACCTCTTTATCATGTCATGATATTGGCTTTTGCTTTTGCAAGCTTCAGTGAGATAATATTGAGTTGCATCTATCATTCAGACCTGTTAAATTTCAGTTTCAGATAGCGATGCTTATGACTGCTTTGTAATACCATTAATGTCGAAAAACATTGAGCTGTCTCTCCTAGTTTGTGCAGGAACATATTTTACTGGAGTTGCGATCAATTAAAAATGTATTTCAGACAGTAATTGGTTTGAGATTAGCTTATAATGGGAGCTGTCAGGAGTTCTGGGTAGAACTGTGCCTCAAAACACCCCATCATTTTCTGAGATTCATGCTATATAGGTGGGTGAGTAGCCTTATCTGCAGTTAGGAATCTGTCCAATTATGCTGGTTGGGGCAGACAGGAAAATGTGTTGGTTTTTTAATGTGCTTTTCATTTGCAGTGATACATAATCTCATCTCCCCTAAACCCAAGTTCTGAGGCTCTTTCTTCCCTTTTTCTGCTCTGAGAAATATTTTTGTCTTCATTCCGGGTGGACGCAGAGACAATACAGGCTTCTGTGAGGGAAGCTTGTAATTATCTAGTTTAATGAGAGCATAGTGAACTGCATCCTGGAAGTGTAATATACTTATGGCTTCTTTTTTCTGTAGTTATTAGATGACACTAGTTTTGTAGCGACTTCCTTCTTTGGCATTCATCAAAGGGA